GGCCGAGTGGCTCAGTTGGTTAAGAGCTCGCTCAAGAGTTTGAGCTCTGAGCAACAGCGGTTCGAGTCCAGCCCGAGCTGAGCAGCCGCTGAGCAGCCGCTGAGCTGCCAACAGGTAGCAGGATGGCTCAGCTAATAAAAAAAAATAAAATAAAAAATAAACAAGAGTTCATGGGGTCTGGAACTGTAATGGTGACAGAACAGAAATGAATTTAAGAAAGAATCCTCTAGAACAAATCAAGTACTTGGCAATGGGAGGCTAGGGGGAGGGAAAGGTGTTTGCCTGAGGGTGGCGGGTAGAAAGATGGCAAAACAGAGAAGTGGGAACAGGTGGGGGTGAGGAGCTAAATTTAAGATATGCTGAGAGTAGAGTAGCAAAAAGACATCCAGTTAGAACTGTCATGCAGGCATTGAGCAATGTAAAGGAAAAGTTGAGAAGAGAGGTATCTGTATCAAGGTAATGATGGGAGTGGGTAGACGTGGCCATGATGGATGTAAACCACAGGACGCAAGAGGGCAGGAGACAGAATGGATGCTAATACAATGTGCATAGCTTTGTGGCGTTTTGTCACGTGTAGATCAGTGTAACCATGTGATCGAGATACAGAACTGGCTGTCACCACATGTGCTGCCTCCCATGTGCTGCCCCTTTAGAGTCAAACTGGCTTCCCCTCCCCCACCATCCCTAACCCCTGGCGGTGAGTAATCTACTCTCTATCCCTATAATTTTGTCATTGGGAGAATTTTATATAAATCGTATCATATAGTATGTGACTTTTCAAATGGGGTTTTTCATTGAGCATAATGCCTTGAGGTCCATCCAAGCTGTAGTACATACCAATCTCTGCCTTCCTGTGGAGTACAAACATTTTTTGGAATTCCATTTTTATTTTATCTAGTATATTGTTTTTGAGTGTATCTGTTTGCATAGACATATAGTGGTTGCTCTAGGTATTAAATTGTACATACATAATTTAACAACAGTCTGCTGGTTTCAACATTTTACCAGATTAAATCAGATGTAGAAACCTCACTTCCCTTTCCATCCCTTGACTGTCCGGCATTTACAATAAAATTGTCTTATCGATGCTTCTGCAGACATTGAAAACTTCATCAGTGTTACAATTTTTGCTTCAACCATCAAACATAATTTAGAAAAGAGAAGGAAATCCTATTGTATTTACCTATATATATTTTTTTCTTCATGATGTTCTAATATTTCTTCTTTTATTGTTTCCTTTCTTCTGATCATTCTTTAGCCATCCTTTTAGAGTAAGTCTGTGGAAACACATTCTTTCAGCTCTCCTTCCTCTGAGAATGTCTGGTTTTCCCCTTCATCCCTGAAGTATATTTTCACTAGATACAGGATTCTGAGTTGACAGTCTTTTCTGTCAGCACTTAAAAAATGCTATGCCACTTTCTTCTGGGCTCCATGGTTTCTGATGAAAAATCTATCATCCTATAACATGAATGTCAGATTCTTTTCTTATACTCCCACAAGTCTTTGAGGCTCTGTTCACTTTTTTTCTAGTCTGGTTTTTCTCTGTTGGTCAAATTGCATGATTTCCATTGTCCTGTCGTCATGTTTACTGATTATTTTCCTGTTACCTTTATTCTGCTGTTGAGCCCATCACTGAGTTTATTTTATTGTATTTTTCAGTTCTAAAATTTCCACATGACTCTTCTTTATATTTTCTATTTCTTTGCTGAGACTTTGTTTTTTTCATTTGTTTAAAGCATGTTCATGATTGCTTTCTAAAGCATCTTTATGATGGCCACTTTAAATCCTTGTCAGATAATTCTAACATCTGATTTGTCTTTCATGTTAGTGTGTACTGATTATCTTTTCTCATTCCCTGCAATTAATTGTAATACCTCCAGTTTACCTCATTGCCTACAGTGTTATGTTCATGATACGTGCTACTTACTGTAAGACCAAATCTCAGTGGACCTCTTCAACACAGTTTTAGATACTTAAATGTCTAATTAGACACAGATTTAATGGTCCAGTTGTCTGATCAGACATGAAAAGCATTGGCCTTCCGTGCTTGTGGACTGGGTACACAGGCTGAAGATCCAGGGATGTGAAAAGGGGAGACTAAAAGCTTCATACAGAGGCGCTGTCTCCTGTGGTTCTATTAGTCAGCTATTGCTGTGAGACAAATTGCTCCAAAACTTAATGGCTTAAAAATGACACTTATTTCTGTTTTTGTGGGTCAGGAATCCAGGTGCCGCTTAGCTGGGTCCTTCGATTCTCTCACAAGGCTGCAGTTATCTCAAGGATCAGCTGGGAAAGATTCACTTCCTAGTTGATCCATATGGTTGGTTGGCTAGATTCAGTTCCTCTCAGGCTCTTGGCCAGACACCTCCCTGGGTTCCTTGCCACATAGGCTTCTCAGGAGAGAGAGAGAGAGAGAGAGAGAGAGAGAGAGAGAGAGAGAGAGAGAGAGAGAGAGAGAGAGGGAGAGAGAGAGAGAGAGAGAGAGAGAGAGAGAGAGAGAGAAGAGGAGAGGAGAGAGAGAGAAGCAAGAAAGAGAACTAAAAAGATGGAGTCGCAATCTTGTAACCTCATCACAGCAGTAGTGACATCCCGTCACTTTTGCTGTATCCTTTTTGCTAGCAGCAAGTCTCCAGTCCCAGCCCACAGTCCAAGGGAAGGGATTACACAAGAGTGTGACCACCAGGAGCAGAGCTATTTGGGTGGCATCTTACGAAATCTGCCTACCGCAGATTTCAGGTCTTGAAAAAAGTGGAGAAAATTTTAGAAGCCTACTTTGTAATCACTGTGACACACATCACACTCACACTCCTGTCACTTTAATGATGTCCAGCTTCAGTCCACCAGTGGCACCGCCACCTTCCAGTGCCACTTGTTGTTCATAATTGCCAGCTTCCAGTGCCACTTGGCCTGGACAAGGTTGATGTCCAATGTTCTGATCTTTGACCTGGGAGATGGCCTTTTTTATCTGTCTGCCCTTGCTGTTCAAGAGGGAACTATTGACAGCAGGTCTACAACTGAGGACACCTTTTAGTAAAGAATACCTTGCCAGCCAAACGGTCAGCTGTTTCATGGCTAAGATCAAATGTAAGCATAAGAAGGATATCTGAGATCAAGAGGGCTGTGTAAGCCCCTCTACCTGTACTGTGCTGAGTGTACTCTTTTTCCAGTGTCAGGGCCAATTTGAGATTGAGTCCCTTCATAAAGGGATTGACCTTGTACCTCTGTTACATGTTAGCAGTGGGAAGAATCTTATGCTGACCCAGTCCCCGGCACCCTAGACCCGTGGAGAAAGCCCTCTGCGATGCCAGCTAGACTCAGCACCAGTCCCTGTGGATGGCTCTTTCTGTAGCCCCAAGATTTAAAATCTCCTGTGGGAAGAAGTAAAACTAAATTTACTCACAGACAACATCTTGTATGTAGAATAGCCTAAAGAATCTACAAAGAAGCTACTGAAGCTAATAAGTGAATTTATCACAGTTGCAAGATGCTAGGTCAATATATTGGGTTGTCGGAAAAGTCATGACGTATTTTTTCTATGTTGTTCGTTGCAAAAATGCGTCATGACTTTTCCGACAACCCAGTACAAGCAAAAAAAAGAACAAAGAGAGAGTGGTGTTGGTACCAGGAGACAGTTGTTCCTTGTTTTTTTCTTTTTGTTTTTCCTAGCTGTCTTGAAAAAAAGTGTGTGATTAGGTATGAGATGTGCTGAAAAAGCAGTCCAAAAAGTTGAGGATGGCGGTAAAGTCATTTCCTTTGGAAATTAAGAGCTTACTGAAGATCAGAGCAGTTACACAGTGTAGCTGGGACAGAAACCAGTGAACAGTGGGCCCCTTGCTCCATTTTCTCAGGCTGCTGTCCTCCACAACTCTGTCATTGGTTCTTCTCCCCTCATGCTGCCCACGCCATGAGTAATGGCATACGTTTTCATGTCTTCTACTCCCACCTTTTTCTGGTAACTTCAGCTCTATATCTCTAACCTCAAAGTGTGCCTTCCAGGTGCTTCCACGTGCCTGCTAAATGTCAGACCTCCGTCGTTGTCATAGCTCACAGCATCCTTTTTAGAATTATGTGTGTCACTCACCACAAGAATGGAGGCTGCACAAGATCAGAGGCCAATTGCTTTCTTGATACATCCCCATTTCTTGGCACAAACCTCACATAGAGTATGTGCTCAATAAATATTTATAGAATTAGTCAATGATTAAGATTTCAAAATGAAATTCACTGTATCCTCCCAGGAGATGTTGACCCTTCTCTGTTCTTTATTTTGGCTAATGGTGGGACCGCCCCGCTCAGCCTCACCCATCTCATCAGCGTACCCGGTTGATGACACGCCTGCTTCCCTCCCCCCTTCACCCTCCACATGGTCGTACGTGTGATGTAACATGCATGCCTCCACAGCTGGGTCAGAAGAGGAAGCCTGCGTTAGTGGGGCCGCTTGCTTGCACATGGCAGAAAACACTTTAAATGATCTTATTTATCATCATGTTTGTGCTCCTGTGTGGTGTGGGAATAGACTCTGCTGCACAGATCCAAGCAGGTCCTAGGGCCGTTTCTGTCCTCAGCATCTTGTACCAGTTTAGCCTCCTCCTTTCCTTCTCCGTGGCATTCTCTGAGTTGGGGAGGAAGGTGTGGGGAGAGGGAATATCCAAGCTTACATTTCACTCTGGCAGCTACAGAGCATTGGGACACGAGTCTAAGCTTTGGGCAGCCATGTGAGGAGGGAACTGGGCATTGTGGTTGGCCAAGCCTAGGTCTCGTGCCAACCCCATCTACCCTCGGGCCTTCAGGGGAAGGGTGGGGAGGCCGTCCGGTGTTGACTGGCAGCATCATGTGGTTGGAAAGAGAGAGTTACTCCCTCAAAGAAGCAGGGCAGGAGGGAAGGGTTCTGGGCGGACATGACTGTGAGGCAGAATGAAGTAAGTGCTAAAATAGTGCTGTGGGAACAGAGGGGAAGGGGCAGGAGGTTGGGAAGGTTTCACAAAGGCTGCGCCTTCGAGAATGAAGGGCACGCCACCATCTCAAGTGTGACTGGACTAAAGGACCTGGAATTGTTATGAAGGTGATGGTAACATGTTTAACGCATTTGAGAAGGGGAGTGACATGCTCCAACCTGTTAAGGATGAGAACTCTGATGCCAGTATATTAAAAAAGAAAAAAAAAGTTTTGATCAGGTAATGAATAGTTGATGAAGGCTTACCAGGTATTAAGTCAAGATAAGCAGAGGGCATATTCAAGGCTCTTACAGCCGAGGATTACTGTAGGGAGTGGGGATTAAAGCCCAAAGGTTTCTATCCTGGGTGACTGAGAAGATACTGTAACCTCATCTGAGATAGGGAATCCAAGAGGGAAAGACTTTAGTTTGAAAAATGCTGAATTTTGAGGTGCTGGCAGGAAACCCATAAAAAGGTATTTTATAGGCAGTTAGAAATTCAGGCAGAGACATTAGGGGGAAGCATTTTATTTGGGACTCATCAGAATAGTTTACAGTAGTCTTTCCCAAAAGGTGAGTTTGAGATACATATACTTGTACAAGAGATGGACTTAGGTAACACATGGACCCAGAAATAGCATTTAAGCATTGAAGCAGGAACATGTTTATTGTGGAAGAGAAAGGCTTGGTTTGGTTTTAGTGGCCCTGTTATAAGCTTATCTCCCACTTTCACAGGTGTCAGGATCAGCTTCTGTAGGCAAAACTATTTCACATCATACTGGTTTTCCATTTGTAGCAGGGTTTTTTTTGTTTTGTTTTTTAATTGGGGAACACTGTGTTTTTCCAGGACCCATCAGCTCCAAGTCTAGTAGTTTCAATCTAGTTGTGGAGGGCACATCTCAATGGCCCATGTGGGGATCGAACCGGCAACCTTAGTGTTATGAGCACTGCGCTCTAACCACCTTAGCTAACCGGCTGCCCTGGCAGTTTTTTTTTTAAATAAACGTTTCTAAGTAAAATCTTTGAAATTTAAATAGTACAGTTGACACACTTATTTCATAGAAATAGTAACAGTGGGATGGAAATGACTGAAGCTTAGGAAGCACCTACACAAACCAAAGTTGGTAAGATCACGTAAGGAGAGTACAGAGCTGGAGGGCAGGAACAAGATCAGGACTTCGGGAAATGTCATCTCAAGGCAAGATGGGGTAGAGAAAACTCGGAGAGAATAGTGGTCAGAAGGAGAACTTAGTTCTTCGGGAGGGGAAAGCTAAAGGAAGCCTGCATTTCTCAGTGCTGTCAAATGCTTAACTGAGGTTTAGAATCTAAAAGAAAAGTTGTTAGATTTACTGTTAGGAGACATTGGGAAGTTTTGGGGGAGTTGTGCTTATATATACAACTTCTCAGGGCTAAGGAATAAGTTGGAGGATGAAGAAGTAGAGGGGAAAACGTCAGTTCTTTAGTCAAAGTTGAAAGAAAGTGGAAGAGGGTTGGGTGTTTTGAAGCGAGAAGCAAGATCAAGCAGCCAACAGAAATAGGAAAAGGCAGTAAGGAAGAAAAAGGCGTTCTAAACATTTATACATGAGAAACTACAGCGTGATCAGTTTAGAAACATGGGCAAATGTACCATCAGTGTGGATCCCTGTGCTCTCTCATTAATAAGGCTGTGTAATGCTCTGTGCAAAATCATAATGAACATGGTGCACTATACGTTTCAAACCCCAAACATGCATCTGTGATGTCTCAAATTTCCACTGACCAAACCTGCACCCTCTGCATAGCCCCTAAAGTAATCAAGAGGAATCACACTGTTTAAAAAATTTGTTCCCCAACTTTCCAATTTCCAGAAGTCAGATGCAGAGATTAAGGAGGTATAAACTTGCCAGTGGTCACATCCAAATCTTAAATTCAAAGATTCTGTGTTCTGTGAGCCCTTCAACCAGCTTGTGAGGGCGCCATCAGCAGGCAGAACCTCTGCAGTTCGGCGCTGAAAGCAGTGCCATCTAGTGGTGCGTGTGCAGCAGCTGTCTTAACGTTTGGGAGTTTTGACAGTGAGATTTGAAGTTTTAGCAGAAGGTAATCACTGTTTTTATCATCTTAAGGCCGTTGCCATTCTTAACTGCTAAAAAATCCAAGGACAGCCACCAAAAACTAGAACTCGTAAGCTTTATTTTTAGATCTCTCATCCAAATCTTACAAATTCAAGAGCTTCGGTATGCAAAGTATTTCTAGCAGTTAGATCTATGCACTCCAAAATGTCTAAATGAATTCACAAGACAGGGAACACTGGCCATTTGCCTTTGGGGAGAAGACTGAGGAGCAATAATTAAAGGGATGATTTTTCACTGCATACGTATCTCAAACCTTTAGAATTTTGAGGCATGCGATCCTGTTGTAAGTATGAATGCGGGATACTTTCTAGTGTTCTCCCAATGCAGGTCATGAATGAAAAACTTCAGCACTGCATGGAGTTAACAGATCTGATGCGAAATCACCTGACGGAGAAGAGGGCACTGCGCCTGGAGTGGATGATCGTCATCCTGATCACCATAGAGGTGAGCCACTTTTTAAGGAACAGTGACAAGAACTTGATAACAGGACAGTGGGGAAAGCATGACTCTGTGCCAGTTACATCTACTTGGAAGTGAGGTTAAGTTTCAAGTGACTATGGTAGTTACATTTTGCAAATATGTTGTGCTTTTTCAAAAAAGTTCCACATTTTGAGAGATGGCATGTAGTGCAAGTTCTGGCTGTAAATTTATAATGTACAGCCCAACAGCAAGTACCTGTGCCTCAGACCTGCCGCTTGCCACGTGGGAAAGACAAGTATTTACTCTTACTTCAGGAGAATTAGTCACAACCTTGCAAGAGTCATTTTAGTGTGTAGCAGTGATTTGCCATGAAATTAATAATTCTCACTTTTTGTGACCCTAAGGTAATGTTTGAGCTGGGACGAGTGTTTTTCTAAGCAAGTGATGACCAAAGGAAAAGTGTCATTTCAAGAGCTATGCAAGTTCTACAATCAAAAATAAATGCTCACTATTGGGGGAAATCTTATTTAATAGGTATTTAAATTTTTAGTCAAGAAATTGTTATAATCATTTCATCTCCTAAATGTATTGCTGCTTGAATAAAAATTATGAAGGATCTGGTGTTTGGGTCTGTTAACAGACAATTTGAAAGGAAAATGTTTAAAGAACTAGATAAGCTCAGCAGCTAGGAAATGTAGGCAGATACTTAGTAAAGCCAAAGGCTTAGCTTTGGACACTGCGCCTAACACATCCCCAGGGAATCCCAGGCATGGTCTTGGCTGAGAACCATACAGGAACTCAGGAGTGCTGAAATATACAAAATGACGCAGGTGTGTGATGGCAGACACTGGTTTTATAAACCTACTTTAGATGGCATTCATAATTTGAGTTTGACAGCTCACTGGTACTTTGCCTTTTATTAATTTAATACTTTCCATCCTATCACGACCAAGTTACTCAAAATATTTTTCTCAGAGAAACATTTTAGTTTCGCACATTCTTTAGGGAAATTAAAAACAACATTTATATGCTTCCCATCTTGAATTGATAATTAACATTTTTAAAAAGCCAAATCCGGGCCGGCCGAGTGGTGCGATGGTTAAGAACTCGCTTGGGATGCCAGAGGGCCCCGGTTCGGATCCCACATATGAGGGCCAGTGACACTGCCCTCCACAGCTAAGATGCTGAACAACAGCTCAACCTGGAGCTGGGCTGCCGTGAGTCACCGGCGACGGCGTGAGCTGCAGTCCCTGTGGCAGTGGATTGCCATGGGCTACCGTGTGTGGCCAGCAGCCAGCGTGAGCGGCCAGCAGCCGCAGTGAGCGGCTGTCCAGAAGCCGGTGACTGATCTGCCTCACCCGGGAAGAGCGCAATGATGGTTCCAACTTGGGCCAGTGAAGCAACATCCTCCACAACTAGATTGAAGAACAAAAAAAACGACAGCAACTTGTCTGTTCCCCTTTCCCCCATTCCCCAGCACTGTTCCCATCCCCCCAATTCCCCAATAAAAATCTTTAAAAAAAAAAAAGCCAAATCCTTGTTATCACTTACCTTATTTTTATGCATTAACCCCTTCATCTCACTACCCTGTCCACCACAATGAATTGAAATGATTTTTTCTATACATTCTATACCTATCCATGAACAGAGTATTCCTCTGTTCTGAATTGGGACACCGTCAACTTTACAACTTGTTTACTGCGACATCGCATTCTGCAAATACACTACACCCTTACTGATACCTTCTATGCATTTGCTGTGACAGAGAAGGTGAACACACTGGTGTCTTTCTCAGCACACACGCGATTCTTAGGCAGCTGTCTGAGGTACGTATGCCCCAAGGGCACCAGACTTCCCCAGGAGCACGTGGGCACCCCTAGTTCAAGAACTGCTTTCTAGAGCCTCAAGTCCCACATAAGTCCTTTCCTAAAACTGCTGTGCCTGTGCGCACAACTGCAATCAGTGTGTCAAGCCTGTGCTTTCCCATCTTCCCTTCTCACTCTGTCCAGAAGGCATCTCTCACCCAACCTGCTGAATCCGAGTTTGGTCTGCTATATTTAAAAACCTTTTAATGGGGCCGGCCGAGTGGCGCGTTAAGTTAGGAGCTGGCTTGGGATGCCAGCTCTGAGCAGCAGGGCCCCCGTTCAGATCCCACATGAGAGCCAGTGACGCTGCACCCTCTAGAGCTAAGATGGTGAACAACAGCTCCACCTAGAGATGGGCTGCCATGAGTCACCAGCAACAGCATAGGCCGCAGTGGGGCTGGCCTCCAGCTGGCATGAGTCCTTTCGTGAGCTGCCAGTGAGCCACAGTGAGCAGCCATCCAATGGCCAGCGAGCGACTGCCTCACCCTGGAAGAGCACAATAATACCAACATGGGCCAGTGAAGCAACGTCCTCCACAACTAGACTGAAGAACAAAAGGACAGCAACTTGTCTGTTCCCCTTCCCCAATTCCCCCAATAAAATCTTCAAAAAAAAAAGAACCCTTTAAATGTATTTAACCTATATTTTAAAATCTTTGGGAAGGCAAACAACATGACAGTTTGAAATAAGTGGTCAACAAAACCTCATCTGAGACCATATTATCCCCCACCTAATAAGCGGGCAATTTCCATTAAAATTTTACTCCAAGTATCAATATGTACAATTTGCTGTTTGGGTCAACTCAATTATAACAAAAAAAAAAAGGGCATGAACCTTTAGTGCCTTAGGGTCATGACAAATTAAAATTTAACATTTCAACTTACATACAAATATGTAGGAAAGAACATGAAGAGAATAAGACCTTGAAGCAAAACTTTACTGATTATCATAACGTTTTATGGTGGAAATGTTAACACACAGTTTTTCAAGGAGAAAAAGGAACTGTTAAATTTGAATCATTTACTTATGTTTAACTGGATCATGATGGACAGCATCTCATTGTGGTATTACATTCCACTAGACACATTCACGATATAACAACTTTTTTTTTTTAAGATTTTATTGGGGAGTCGAGGGAGGGGAACAGTGCTGGGGAATCGGGGAAGGGGAACAGACAAGTTGCTGTCCTTTTTGTTCTTCAGTCTAGTTGTGGAGGACGTTGCTTCACTGGCCCATGTTGGTATTATCATTGTGCTCTTCCTGGGTGAGGCAGTCGCTCACTGGTCATTGGACGGCCGCTCATGGCGGCTCACGCCAGCTGCCAGCCACTCAAGGTAGCTTACTGCAGCCCACACCGTCGCCGGGGACTCATGGCAGCCCAGCTCCAGGTCGAGCTGTTGTTCACCATCTTAGCTGTAGAGGGTGCAGCGTCACTGGCCCTCATGTGGTATCCGAACCAGGGCCCTGCTGCTCAGAGCTGGTGTCCCAAGCCAGCCCTTAACCAATGCACCACTCGGCAGGCCCTTCAGGTCACATTTTAGAAACTAATGTTTAAACAGCCACCTTTTTCAAATCAGGCCTCTACTGCAACTGTACAAACTAAGAACAGGCGCCTTCCCTACCAACGATCAGCCACCTTCACAGAGAAAAACAAGTCAATACACAGACACTAATTTATCAATCAGAGGAAGTACTTTTCCCCTACAAGTATCATTTACTTCGCTTTCAAACAAAAAACCCTGAGTCAAACACAATTCTATAAGCAAAAATTCATTCACATTTCCTTTTTTTCAGAAATAGTTCAATAAAAAACTTTAATATTTCAAAATTAAAATGTCTTTAAAAATCAGTGACTACTGATATGTTCAACTTGGATGAATCTTTCACTCAACCAGTCTCAAAAGGCTATGTATTGTATGATTCCATTTATAACAAGCCAGAAAAGACAAAACTAGCTATGGAGAACCAAGCAGTGGGCTGCCATGGGAAAGGGGTTGGAGGAGAATAAGTATATATAAGGACAGCATGAGGGAATTTTTTTGAAGTGATAGAACTGTCCTGTGTCCTGATTGTCATGTTGGGTTGTTGGAAAAGTCATGATGCATTTTTGCAACAAAAAAACAGAAAAAAATACGTCATGACTTTTCCAACAACCCAAAACCCAATAGTTGTTACACAAATGTATACCCATATTAAAGTTCACAACTGTACACTAATTCTAAAAATTTATTTATTTCAAAAATATGTTAATGATCCTGTCATTTACTGAGGTACTATGCTAAGCCCACTGACACACACTTTCTTATTTTACACTCACATAATCCTACAAGACAAATATAATAATTTGAGTAAAACAAAAAACTGAGGCTCAGAGGTTAAATAACATGACCAAAGCCAAACAGCTTAAGGGACATGTAATTCCAACCCTGATCTGACTCCAAGGCCCACATATATATATATATATATATTTTTTTTTAAGATTTTATTGGGGAATTGGGGGAGGGGAACAGCCAAGTTGTTGTCCTTCAATCTTAGTTGTGGAGGGCGCAGCTAGCTCAGCTCCAAGGCCAGTCGCACCGCTCAGCTCAAGGTGCTGTGTTCAATTAGTTGCGGGGGGAGGGGGGTGTAACCACCATCCAATGCAGGAGTCAAACCAGCAGCCTTGTTAAGAGCGCACACTCTATCCCTTGAGCCACCTGCGCGGCAGCTCAGCTCAAGATGCCGAGTTCAGTCTTAGTTGCAGGTGGGCATAGCCCACCATTCAAACAGGCAGCCTTGTTAGGAGTATGCACTCTCACCAGCTAAGCCATCCTGCCACCTGTTGGCAGCTCAGCTCAGGGCGCAGCATCACTGGCCCATGTGGGAATTGAACCGGCGACCCTGTTGCTCAGAGCTCACACTCTTGGGCAAGCTCTTAACCAACTGAGCCACTTGGCCGGCTCCAAAGCCATTTGTTCTTAACCACAGTTAATAACATCCTATACTCTCTCCCCTCTATTCATCAATACCAACCACTCTCTCTCCCTAATGTCAGGAGGCCAAGTTTCCTCATTCTGTTCCTAACTCAACAGACTACAGATAATGTGAAAATGTGCAGATGAGCAAAACATGATTCTAGAGCAACGCTTTCCAACAGAACTTTCTGTGACAATGGAAATGTTCTGTAGTATCTGTGTTGTCCCACATGGTAGCCTCTTGCCACATGGCTATTGAAAGCACATGTGGCTAGTGTGACAATTGATACAGCCACATGTGTGTGGCTAGTTGCTACTGAACTGGACATAGCACAATTCTAGAGAAATAAGAATGTGAATGCCACTTAAGAAGCAACTTATCAAAATATGATAGCAACACACCAATAAAACAATTTAAGGTAGATGCACTTTGAAGGAGTCAAGTTGAGAAATGCACGACCCCCCAAACATCACAAAACTAAATCTGTCTTTCAAACATCTATTCACCCTTCAAGATTCAATTTAATATCAACTTCCATTTGTATTACCACAGCACTTTGCATATGTGGAGTGTAGAACAAACTGTATATTAAGTATAAGATGGTGTTTTTCTCTCCCATTAGGCTGTAAGCATATATGAGTATACACCACCACCACCTATATGCAGAGGCTCTCTACAAGATACGTTTTCTCATTGAGTTCTAGTGGGAATACTATCATCTTAGGTCATCCTTCAACTACAAATCTGATTCAATTCTGCAAGCCTTTGAGTACCAGCAGTATACACATAAGGCAGTCCGAGCTCACAGTGGGAATGGGGGGTACAAGATCTAGGTAGACAAATAACAAGAAAAGTAATCACGTAAGTACATACAATCAGTGTGTCAGGGCAGAATAGGAACTGTCGGGAGTCCTGGTGGTAAGAGGAACCATAAAGTACTTTAAGAAAGCAGCCATTATCCAACTCGAATAGCAAAAGTGTAAGATAATTTACTGTATCCCCATCTATTACTCAGAAAAGCCTAATGGATTAAAAAAAATTTTTTTTTGAGGAAAGCCTTAGAAATTCATCTTGGCTGCACTCTCACTACCAATGTCAGGGTCTCATCCTGCTCCTTGTATCTCTAAGCCAAAACTAGTCTTTGAACAAATCCTTCTAGATCCAAAGTGTCCATGAAAATTTCACAGCAGAAAAAGAAGTCGTACAGTGTCCTTTACGCTCAAACTCTGATCATCTGTTTAAGTTATAACATCTTCTTTTAGGTCCTGGAAATGTGCTAATTGGTACAGTTATACAATACAATCTGGTGGCCAGTACAGAAGACAGCATCTGGAGCTAACAAGTAGTTTGAATTTAGCAAGTACAGTTGACCCTTGAACAACACGGGTTTGAACTGCACAGGTCCACTTATTACACGGGTTTGTTTCTCCCAATACATACAGTTGGCCCTTCATATCCACGGGCTTCACATCAACCGAAGCCAACCTTATTCAGATTCAACCAAGCGTGGATTGAAAACAGTATTTCTGCATTCCCAGCAGCAGTTTCCCAACCATGGATTCCCAACCATGAATCAAAAATACTGTTTTCGATCGAGGTTTGCTGAATCCACAGATGTGAAGGGCTGGCTACAGTCAAAAGTTATACCCGGATTAGTGCGGCGTTAACACTCCTAGCCCCCATGTTCAAGGGTCAATCGCACATTTTGTTTCCTTAAAAAAAATCAATTGGGGGGATGCTGGTGTGAGGAGTCTACAAAGTCATAAAGACATCAAACATTAGCTGCAGGACAAACAAGTTTAAAGTATAACTATCATGTACGGGGTGTGATCAAAAGATACAGTGAACATTTACATTAAAAAATTTATTACAGTAAAAGACACACTGCCATTAGTTCCCCTCAAAATACTCCCCCTCACTTTGAACACACTTATCGTATCATTCTTGCCACTCTCTGAAGCAGTTCAGGAAGTCCTCTTTCGTGAGTATCTACCTCATCCTCCATCATAATATCACTGTCACACATCGCTTCTGGTATGACAATTTCTGTCAAAAACATTACCGTGTGTTCTTATTCACCGGATCTGGTACCGTGTGACTTCTGGCTCTTCCTCAAAGTCAAAATTACCATAAAAGGAAAACGTTCTGAATCAATTCAGGACATTGAGGCAGCCATGACAGCACAACTAAAGACACAAAAGAGGACTTCCAGAACTGCTTCAGAAAGTGGCAAGAATGATGGGGTAAGTGTGTTCAAAGCAAGGGGGAGTATTTTGAGGGGGATTAATGACAATGTGTCTTTTACTGCAATAATTTTTTTTTTGAACATTCACCATATTTTGATCACACCTCATAGAAGCTTGCAAGCTGGAAGACTAGGGAAGAACAGTTATACGCGTAACTTCTTTAGAAAAGATTTTTTAAAATTCAGCCAATTTTTCCATTTTTATCAACAGATTATTCATGACAAAAGTCAGAGAAAATCTGTTTATTTTTCCTAGAATAAATGGCCTCGGGCCAGTTAATTACTTAACTTATTTGAGTCTGCTTTCTCAAATTTAAGATTAAGAAGGGCGTGAGACTAGATGCCCTCAGAGAAAAAAAAAATTAATTAACTTCAATAATTACTTACAGATTGACTTCAACAAGGCTTCTGGTTCAATCCTAATTCATCCAGAAACAGGAAAAATATAGAATTGTGGGGCTTATTAAAGTGTCATAAACACTCCCTTCAAGATAAGGAGCTTAATACCTATGCCCTGGGCTGTAGGCTGGACTTCGTGACTTGCTTTTAACAGCATGTAGCAGTGATGGTGTGGCTTCCTCCTTGCTCTTGGTTCACGAGCTCTGGAGAAAGCCAACCACCACCATGTTGGGAGGACACTCAAGCAGTCCAATGGAAACTAACCAAGACCTGCCAATTGCAAGCCCCACCTGCTGGAGCGTGAGCCCCTTTAGAAGCAGATCCTCTGGTCCATTCAACACCTTGACTGAAAGACCCTGATCAGAACCACCTAGCTATACTCACAGATTCCTGACCTATAGAAACTATATGATAAATGTTTTTCAAACTGTGAACTCTGATCTATGTGTGATTGATGAAATCAATTTAAGGCATCACCATTAAAAATATAAACTAGTTAGAAAAGACAGAGTATATAACTGATAACAAGTACTATTTCCTGAAAATTCTGTTTTAATTTCACATATATGTGTGTACCAAGTAGCATTTAACAATGTATTTCTTAGAAGCACAAGTGAAAAAGTTTGAAACCCACAAGCTTACACTTAGGTTTAGTTTAAGACAAAAAATTCCCTAAAGTATAGGGAATCTTTAAGGGAATATGGTATCAGTAACAACCAATTATAAAATAAGCATTTTCTATAAACTTTATACCCAAACCAATGAAATACAAGACACTCTCAAAATACATTTTTTCTGATTTAAATGTTAAGCTTGATATAAAACACAAAAGGCATGATAGACTTGTAAATCTAGCATGTAAAGCCATGTCGTTTTCCTAATCTAAGAGGTTACCCGTAAAGTTATGTAGTGAAAATGCTGCTTTGGGATCTACCCGCATTTATTCTATTACTTTAATAATCAACGTTAATGGAAATTCCATCTTCAACCTGCGCATACAAACTCAAATTTCAGCCAAAAGAAAAAAGTTTAAGTACAGTATTGTTAAATTGCTTCCTGCCCAGTGTCCAAGTTCACTGATCTATCCTCTTTAGAACACAAGCAAGCGCATATTTTTCTCATACTTCAGCATAACATACCAAAACTTTCAGCAGCACTAGTTTGCAGAATATTTATGTATAACAACTTTTGATGAATTCCACTCAGGTTATTTGCTTGCACTGTGATTTTCTTTGAAAATGTGTGAAACTACTTTTGAACTCATTTGCCAAATCTGTTTCCAAAATGCAAAATAAATCAGCACATAAACACTAAACAGATGATTTAACTTTTTTCTTATTACTAAATTTGGGGCATTTGTGGCTCTCCCACAACCAGACTGACAGCTTCCCTTGGTATCCTGACATATACTATTTAGCCTTTCTTGCAAGTACTAAGTTTTCTCCCCAACCTTTGCATATGTATCCACCTAAATGTTTCCACTTCAACCAGTTGTAGAAAGCAGATAAAATCTGTATAGCTTTCCTTATAACGCTATTACTTGATGATGGTGATTAAAAATCAAAATAATTAGCATACTTGACAAAACCCAAGTATGCGTGCATGCCTATGCCTTGAGAGAACTAGCAGTAAAGCAGCCCAGTTCTAAATTCAAGAGCAGCAGCTCTTGAAAAATACGATGGTCCTGACAGCATTTCCTCTAGGAATGAGATTCAGAGTTTCAGAAATAACCCCTGGGTTTATTTCTATACAACTATATATATATTACTGAGAAATTATTCGCTGATCTTAAGAATAAGCATAGTTACTTTGACTCAAGGCCAATTACTCTAGACACATAGGCAAGTGTCTACCCAAAGGCTTCAATCTATAACATTAGCTTTGCCCATTTTTTCTTTCAGTTTCTCTTAAGTCCGTTCACTCTCCATGTGAGCACACCATCAGATCATAAACTTAAAAGTTCTTAAGGGTCTAGGTCTAAAAGAACTAAGAACCCAAAGATCTCTAACTAGGACTCTACCAATCAAAATCACTTTAGTATCCTAAGAAGATGAAACAGATCTCAACTGTAGAGCCAATACAAGAAACCTGCCATGACAGTCCGAAAGCCAACTTTTATGTTTTAGTGATAGTGCACTAGAAATCCTTTTATCAGGGTCAGAATTTGGTTTTGCAGGCAGACACTTAACCACTCAACAAGTCATTTATCTAGCTGATCAAAGAACAAGAAAAGTTCAAGGCAGGTACGTACTAAATCTATTGTTCACTTTTGGACTACTATAGTTACACAGCTGTTTCTTCTGTCTTCAAAGAAGGAATTAATCATCATTAGTCGCAGTATAACTGGATTACTAAACCAAACTCAAGACTTTTAGAAGAGGCACTTCTGTATGTTAACTGTCTTTAGTGCGCTTGTCTTAAATATTATGCGTCGGCGCACTGTGCTATGTAACCAAAATGCGTTGGACATCAAATCAAGGAAATTATAACCAGGATAGCATGCTTTAAAACCAGGCTGTTTTGGAAACTGCAGCTTCCATTTCCTTACAAATCAAGCCATATTCTTAAGTCTTCAAAATACTACAAGTATCAAATAAACAAATCATTAAATCCAGTCCTCAAAGAACTGAACTCTACTTCCAAAAATATAAAATTCTAGCAAAATGGCAACGACAGAAAAGTCAACTTTAAAATGTGAAGAATGGCCATCAGAATATCTAAGTCCCTTGCCTGCCCTGATACGTTCAAGGTCCTCCCTGTTAAACGACTTCAGGACCTCTAAATTTAACAGAACGACCAACTCTGGAAACCACTCTAACAGTACCTCAATGACCACTTAACAGAAGAGTGAACTGTTCTTAGTAACAAACATGCTATGCTTCCCCTTCCAGACGCTTGATATTTCTGGACCAAAGCTTCGAAAGCTAAAACCCAATTACTGAAATGAGCATCAAATTCAATCTTAACAAAAACGCCTTCCATCACACTCCACTGAGTCTACAAGGAAGCACCTCTACCACTAGACACAGCACAGGCATGTCCACTTCAGTATGACTTCCCAATTACCACCGGTGATAAAAGGTATTCGTGGTTTTACACTTCTCTCCCTGGTTCTCAAGTCTTTAGGTTAAAACTTATGCTCATGCGGGAAGTCAAGGGACAATGATACAGGCCAGGAGACGTCAAGCGTAAGTTTGCAGAAGGCTCCGAGCAGTTCTCCATCCCTCCCGCGAGTATCCCCAGGGCTGTCCTACCTAAACACTTTATGTAAACACGGGGCTTGTGACTCAAGCCTCCAGCCCCAATAAGCGGAGAGAAGTTTCCTCGCCTCGGCTGCACATGGTTTGCAGAAGTTTGGCTGGAGCAGAGCGCGGAGCCTGGGTGGGAGCGGCAGTGTAGTCAGTGCTGCAGGCGGCGGCGGCGGCGGCAGAGCAGCAGGAGGCGGAGGCGGGCGGGGGAAGGGGAGGCGGCGGGGAGGGGGGGCGGAGGGGGCTCTTGCCGCCACTGCTCTCTCGCCGCCTCTCCCCCCCGGCGGGAGCCGCTCTCAGCCTCTTTGCACTAGTCGCTCCGCTCTCTCGGTCATGTGACCTTAACGTAACCGGACAGGAAAAGCCCCGCCGCCGCCGCCGCCGCCGCGCCGGAGACACCGACCGCGGCGGCAGCAGCAGCAGCAGCGAGAGGCAGAGGCGGCGGCGGGGAGAGCACGGCCAAGGCTGCCCAGCGGTGCCTCCTCCTCACCCCCCGCCGCAGCAGCACCGGCGACAGGTAAGCGCGCACCGCCTCCACCTCCCGGGGCTCGTGCCCACGTGCCGCCCCCGACCCGGGCTCCGGGAAGGCGGGGGGTGGGGGGCGGGGGGGCACCGGAGCTCGCAAACGGTTCCGGCAGCGACGGTGGCAACAAAGAAGGCGAATGACCCTCGTCCTGGGGCTCCGGGTGAAGGCAGACGGAGGCCCCAGAACACACGGGGACCTGGTTCTGGGAAGCGAGGGTATGGGCGCCCCGCGGGGGCGGCGGCGGCTGCGCCTGGCGCCGGGGTTCTGGCCGCCTGACAAAACCATCCCCCGGAGCCAGGCGGCGGCGAGTCGGCGGCAGCTCCATCCGGGGCTTTGCGGGAGGGGGAGGGGACGGAAGCCGAGAGGGCGGGTGGCGGATCGGAGGAGGGAGGGAGGAAGGGGAGGGGGGCGATTCACGTTCCGTTCCCCGTCGCCGGTCCCTCCCTTCCCGCCGCCACCGCGAAGTGCGTCCTGAGCGGCGGCGGCCGGTGAGCGTCCCGCGCTGGAGCCCCGAGAGGTGGGCCTGTCAGGTGTGTAATCCTTCCGACGCCTCGCCGCCGCCTTCTGCTGCCGCCGCCGCTGCTTCTTCAGCGGCAAGGCCGCAAGCTGCGGAAGTGGGTTTGGGGGAGGGGAGCAGAGAAGGAGGGGGAGGGGAGGGATCCGGTCCGACCGGAGCAGGCCCGGCCTCTCTGGCGCTTCTCCCAGCTGCAGCGGCTCCTACAGCTGCTGCCGCTACTGCTGCGGCTCCGCCTCCCCGCTCGCGGGCGGGGGCGCGCACGCGCGCTTCCGGCTTCTTTGGGTCTCGCGCTGTCTCCGGCTCTCGCGCGCGCTCTTCCCTTCTCCTTGTCTGGCCACCCCCCGCCCCCGGCGCCGGGACAGTTGCGCCGGCCGGGGCGTTCCGCACGGCGTAGGCGTCGGCATTGTGTTAAACTCCGCGGGACTTGGGACAAGCGCGCGCGCGCGCGCACGCGGGACGGCGCAGCCTGAGTGCGTCGCCCCTCCCCTCCCCTCTCTTCTGCCCCTGGGGTTGGGGGCGGGGCTGGGGTGCACGGCGACCGTCCCTCCGGGCTCCCTCGGGTCTGGTCGGCCCCACCTCTTGGGACGGGGCGGGGCAGGCGGGGCGGGGTGGCCGTTGGCCCACTCCCACTGGCCAAGGAAAAGTAGGCCTCCCTGGGCGCCGCCCGGGCCGTCCGCCGCCGCGGCCAGGAGGCTGGTGTGGGCGCGCTGAGCTTCCGCTCGACAAGGCGATGTGCGCTTCCGATAAGGCCGAAGTTACCCCAGATCTCCGCTGTGGTTTCTGGCTGCTTTGCCTGGGGGCGTGGGACCGGCGTCCGAGCCAGGCTCCCTGGGGGCGCAGCCCTCACACCCCGTAGGGCTCCGAGAAGGGGAGGTCGAGGGGCGCGGAAGCTGCTTCGTTTTCTCGGTGTGGCGAAACCCTCAAACCATTCATGTCTAAACAAGGCTGCAACGAGAACTGATAATACAGAATATGCTTAGGAAGCAAGTTTTTGTCGTTTTTAGCTGGTAGTAAATTAAAGAGGGCAATAAAGAAAGCAAGAGTAGCAGAGCAGGCAAGAAAGTGATTGGGCAGAGTGAAAATACAGTTAACTATTGCTACACCATTTACTGCAAGAATTTCCCACTGCTGAGCTCCTAATTATGCCTTAGGGAAATAACCCAGGCTCTCTGCTCGCCCCACCCATCTGCAGTGTTCATTTACTCTTCATCATGAAATGGGCTCACTCAGGGTATGAGTCTCAATTCTATTCATTTTCATAGGTTGTTGCCTTAGTAAAATAAAACCTTAAAAAGGTCGAATTACAGGCTCACATAGTACTCCAGGCTGCTCTGGGTTTTCTTCACCGGGCTGCCCTGTCCTTTCTAGGACGGACTATGTATGTTCACCCTGATGCAGCACAGGAGCAGCGTGTACATAGCACTAGCATTTTAGTCTGAGAGGCCTGACATGTCAATAGGAAATAAGAATTAAGACATTTTAAGTCCTCATTTCTCTGATTTTATTACAAACCAAAATTAATTGTTAAATTTTATTTTGCATTCTAAATAACCTTGGTGTGTATCCAGAGTGTTTTCAAATTGTTAAAATTTGATTTTTTTTTTAAGAAGCAAGTTGACGACTAATACTATACATGCCTTTAAACTGCACGTTTTTCACTTAAATGTGTGGTTTATATGTTTAACTTATAGCCAAAGAACTGAACTGTTATTGAAACCATCAAAGATCTCAACGAACAAGAAGTAATATACCAGTGGTATTAAGTGCCACTGATAGTCAACAGTAGAGGAGTCCATTAAAGGGTGACAGATAAACCACCCCTAAAGTTTTGTTGTGCAGTCCAACTGCTTACTTGCCAGCTTCTCTTCAAAGATGGTGTCAATAGATGCAGCTCCACAAACTCTTCCACGGAAATACTCCAGCAGCAGAGAATAATCCCTAGGCATGCTTTAGGTCATAGAATAAAAGTTGCCAAGGTGACAGTTTCTTTTTTATTTTAAAGATTAATATGAACTTTGTACTGTCCTCCAAATTCTGCACTTTTGTACTACAAAAATTCTATAAAATATAAAATCTTATTCACCCCAACCCTCTATAAATATGCACCGTGTGAACACTACATATCCCTGAGTAAGGGGATATGCTTTCCCCAGCTTGAGATTTACTGAAAGACGGAGTGAAGGAGACATCGAAGGCTGGTATGTGGCATTGGCTTGGGATCAGTTTCTTCAGAACTGGAGACTGTTCTGCCATCTTTTAATCTGTCTCTTGGTGCTTCATCCCTGGACCCACTCACCTTTCTTTCCCTGAAGAGACTTTGAAACTTTGGGCAAGTAGTGTGGAATGAAGCTGTCACAGAAAAGGAAGAACTGCTGGTTGGCTGGAAATGACTATAAATTTCAAGCACGTGGCAAAAGGCCATGTATCACTTTACCTACTTACTGCCTTATGGTCTTCAGGTTGCAAAAACCTAAAAGGGAATTGAGAATTTTTATTTCCTGAAGAAAAAAAATAATGTAAGAAGCATTAGACTGAAAACATTTTTTAAACCTTTTTATTTTTTAAAGATTTTTTTTTTGAGGGGGGAATTGGGGGGATGGGAACAGTGCTGGGGAATTGGGGGAAGGGGAACAGACAAGTTGCTGTCGTTTTGCTCTTCAGTCTAGTTGTGGAGGACGTTGCTTCACTGGCCCAAGTTGGCACCATCATTGCGCTCTTCCCGGGCGAGGCAGATCAGTCGCCGGCTTCTGGACGGCCGCTCACTGCGGCTGCTGGCTACACACGGTAGCCCATGGCAACCCACTGCCACAGGGGCTGCAGCCTACGCCGTCGCCATCGCCGGCGACTCACGGCAGCCCAGCTCCAGGTTGAGCTGTTGTTCAGCATCTTAGCTGTAGAGGGCAGTGTCACTGGCCCTCATATGTGGGATCCGAACCGGGGCCCTCTGGCATCCCAAGCCAGTTCTTAACCATCACACCACTTGGCCAGCCCGTTAAACTTTTTTTATGCTCAAGTAGGTTATAATTTTTATTAGCAAATTAAACTTAAATGATTAAAATATTACTTTGAATTGATAGTAAATAAGATCCAGTGTTTTACAATACTGATAGGCCATTAAGAGATGGACCACAGAACACTTACCAGGGGCTGACAGTCCAAAACATTTAGAACCTTTTTTTTTTAATGGTACAAAGGCCAAGTGAGAGGTGAGTGTCTATGCTTAACCACGTAATCTCCGGTTCACATGCGTGAGGTAGGCATCATGGAACTTTCTCACTTCAAGAAAGCTCAGTGTGCAAAGATGGGAATTTGTAAAGCACTTTCTTATATCTGGTTAAGTACTTATGAAACAACTGTTTTTACTTTACAAGAGTTTTAGCATACAGTTCCTTTAAATAGTGTGCACCCCTCAGTCCTGCACCAAGCAAGGGTGAGCAACAAAATGGTCTTAAGAATGATTTCAAAGTGTGCATGTATTCTCCTGTGCCACGTGTAGTCATTTAGATTCTCCAAGTCCAAAGTCATCCTGAACAGCGGTTGTCTGGGTGTGGTCTACAGTCTCTTGTGACTTCTCCAGGACCCTTTCAGGTTTCATAATACTAAGATGTTATTGGCGTTTTTCATTGTTGACAAAATGTGTCCACCTTAGGAAGATCCACATAACTCAGTGAGCTGATATTTTCCAAATGACCAATGGAGGGTGTTAAAAATCATGCATGGGTAACCAATCCATTCCAAGTGCAAGACAGAGCAATGATTTTATGTAATAGAGTAAGACAACATCATTCATTGATGCACTTTTAGATCACACAGCAGATCTTTAAGAAACTACCACTTGTCAAATTTTGGTGTAATGTCAAAGAATATCCACAATTACCTGAAAAGGCTATTAAAATACTTCCTTTTTTAACTACACAGTTAGATTAGACTGGATTTTGTTCAATACTCAACCAAAACAGATACTACAGCAGTCAGTGGAGCAGCAGAGTAAATTCAAAATCCAGTTGTCTTCTATGAAAGAGATTTATAAAAATATAAAAAGATGCCACTCCACTATTTTTTTGTTGTTTTGGGTAATGTAATTCTTTTTTTTTTTCATAAAAATGTGTTATTTATATTAGCATGCAGTGGGCTTTTTATGGATATTTTTCATTGAATTAATACTTTTTAAATTTCTCAGTTTTAATTTCTAATGTGGTATCAGTAGTTACATTCCATATAAATGAAAGTTCTTTGGTGTCCCCAGTAATTTTAAAGAGTAGGAAGGGGTCCTGATACCAAAAAGTTTGTGAACCCCTACCCTAAAATATTGAAATAAATTACTCAGTTAAGACCTTGAATTAAAACACATTTGGCATAGGGCCGGCCGAGTGGCTCAGTTGGTTAAGAGCTTGCTTAAAAGTTTGAGCTCTGAGCAACAGCAGTTCGCGTCTCGGCCCGAACTGAGCAGCCGCTGAACTGCCAACAGGTGGCA